AACAGGAAGTGAGATAATCGCTTTCCAATCTATAGGAAATGGCCACTTAGACCGTTGTCACCTGAACGAGCGTCCCCATTGGTAGATTCCCCCTCTGTTCCTGTTCTGGTGACAAATGTTTGATCAGGAAATTTAGAGAGGGTGAATCTCTATAATGGGGACATGGACAACAATATAAACCTGGCAGGTCTTCTAACCCCTCAGAAGTTTTGCCTTTAGTTACCCTTTACCGAAATATGAACCTGTGCTGTGTGTATTACAAGCAATGATCACCTTTCATGCTTTTCCCCATCTCATTGCTGCTGATCACCAGCTGCTGCTTTGCAGTCACTTCCTGTCCACATGCGCTCCCTCCATCGTTAGCTTCGCATCGTTCCTGATGGTGACAGAGGTGGACCCTTGCTGTGCAGTGTGATTCGACATGGTCGCCTCTATCAGTTGCACATGTGACAGGGTGACTACACAGGAGCACGGTTGTTAGACAGGAACAGAGTGTTGTCACCCTATAACAGGAAGTGCCTGAACAAGGACCTTCATGGCAGGATCCCATGTGATGACCGGCACTCGCAGTCAGGATTATCCTCTGTGCAGTGAAGTGACCAATGGTGATCCGGGCTACGTACGAGTCTATGTGCGTTGGTTGCTGTGGGTGACCGCGCTTGGCACCTGGTGGTGGCGGCAGCGCCCGGTGTGTGTGGGAAGAGCTTCCCCCGGAGTTCTCCTGTCAGGCCGGCAGTCAGGGGGGTTAATTGTCTGCCGGCTGATGTTGATTGTTGGCGGCTCGGCGCTGCGTGGCATGATGTCTGTCTGGGGACCTCCGGCTCCTCTGCTGCTATTCATATCGATTTCCTTCTAACTTTAATTGACTGCCGGTGACGAGCCGAGACCGGGGGGAGAGCCGGCGTCTGGTCCATCCGGTGATCTGTGGCCCCGGGGGGTCCGGATCAGCACCCGCATTTCATGTAGTCACAGTCTGTATGTGGAATGAATTGTATAAGACACGGGGACAATTCCAGAACATACCGGCCCGTCTTCTACACGGGACTTAAATCATCGCATGGCGTCACCCTAAGCGGAGCGCCCCGCGCACACAGAACCCCGGGACATCCTCCTATAGGACGGGGACCTCCATGGTCGGGGTTCTCAGGGTCGTACCTTTCCGGGGTGAAGTCCGGGGGGGTCCTGATCAGCCATATTTCTGTGTCGGGTTCAGAGGTCACCGAGCCGTCACCCACAGCCAGAGCTTCAAAGTCCTTGGGACACCGAGAGCGGATCCTCCCTGAGGCGACAGAGAGACACATTGTATACAGACTGACCTCAGGTATGTACACGGGACCCCTCACCTGGCCGACCTCAGGTATGTACACGGGGCCCATCACCTGGCCGACCTCAGGTATGTACACGGGGCCCCTCACCTGGCCGACCTCAGGTATGTACACGGGGCCCCTCACCTGGCCAACCTCAGGTATGTACACGGGGCCCCTCACCTGGCCGACCTCAGGTATGTACACGGGGCCCCTCACCTGGCCGACCTCAGGTATGTACACGGGGCCCCTCACCTGGCCGACCTCAGGTATGTACACGGGGCCCCTCACCTGGCCGACCTCAGGTATGTACACGGGGCCCCTCACCTGGCCGACCTCAGGTATGTACACGGGGCCCCTCACCTGGCCGACCTCAGGTATGTACACGGGGCCCCTCACCTGGCCGACCTCAGGTATGTACACGGGGCCCCTCACCTGGCCGACCTCAGGTATGTACACGGGGCCCCTCACCTGGCTGGCTCACGGTCAGTGATCAGTAGGGATGAGGTCAGGGACTGATGGTGGATGAGAAGACCCGGGCTCACAGTCAGTGATCAGTAGGGATGAGGTCAGGGACTGATGGTGGATGAGAAGACCCGGGCTCACAGTCAGTGATCAGTAGGGATGAGGTCAGGGACTGATGGTGGAGTTGAAGACTCTGGCTCACGGTCAGTGATCAGTAGGGATGAGGTCAGAGACTGATGGTGGATGAGAAGACCCGGGCTCACAGTCAGTGATCAGTAGGGATGAGGTCAGGGACTGATGGTGGATGAGAAGACCCGGGCTCACAGTCAGTGATCAGTAGGGATGAGGTCAGGGACTGATGGTGGAGTTGAAGACTCTGGCTCACGGTCAGTGATCAGTAGGGATGAGGTCAGAGACTGATGGTGGATGAGAAGACCCGGGCTCACAGTCAGTGATCAGTAGGGATGAGGTCAGGGACTGATGGTGGATGAGAAGACCCGGGCTCACAGTCAGTGATCAGTAGGGATGAGGTCGGGGCTCTGTGCAGGTCACACCATGTCTGTATGGAGCTGGCTCTGTACACGGGGGACAGTCATGGTGGAACCGAAAAGGGTCTTCACCAAACTGTGACCACAAGGCTGGAAGAGCCCCATTGTCTACAATGTCTTTGTAAGATGGAGGAGGAACAGAACCTTCACTGGAGGCCCCTGAACCCCGTCCCTGGAGACCCCTGAACCCCATCATTGGAGGCCCCTGAACCCCGTCATTGGAGGCCCCTGAACCCCATCATTGGAGGCCCCTGAACCCCATCATTGGAGGAGGGGTCACATACATTTGGCCGTGTAGTGTATAGTCAGAGGACGGACTCCTCCTCTGCACGGCGTCGGTGTGATGGGTCCGCTGCTGGTCTATATGGCTCTGTAGGTTCTAATAGGAACCCTCTCAGTGCCGATCCCTCCATCCGAGAGAGCGAGCACTCGCCGAGCGTCACAATGACAGCGCGTCCCCGGACCGGCGAGCTTGCAGGACTCTCCCTCAGACCCGCCGGACTCTCGCCGGAGACTCGCCGAGCAAATCTGCTACAAATTCAGAGAGTGTCGCCGAGAACTTGCGCCGCCGCCGCGCGTGTTCTGCGAGTCCGCAACGTGCCGGGAATGTGCGCAGCAAGTTACTGAGAGATACAATGTAACCCGACACACGATTGTAGCGAGTTCTCCTCGCTGTCTGGGATTGCGTCTTCTCTGTGATGTCACTATTGTCCCGAGCGGCGCCGAGCGACCAGGAACCCGCGTCTCTGTTACCTGACACCCCCGGCAGGCTCATCACTTATTTATTGTCCAGGTGTTCCCGTGTACAGACCACGTAACCGCCATCTACATGTGTTCTATATGTCCCTGACATATACCGCAGCGCTGTACAGAGGACACTGAGCCAGTCACATCAGTACAGAGGAGCTTACACTCTAATGCCAAAGTGACGTTTGCTCGGTGTCCTGTGTACTATAAACAATGTTTTACTTTGGGACCCTGAATTGATGGTATCCCCCAGGTTGCACCCCTCTGGCACTCTGAATTGATGGTATCCCCCAGGTTGCACCCCTCTGGCACTCTGAATTGATGGTATCCCCCAGGTTGCACCCCTCTGGCACTCTGAATTGATGGTATCCCCCAGGTTGCACCCCTCTGGCACTCTGAATTGATGGTATCCCCCAGGTTGCACCCCTCTGGCACTCTGAATTGATGGTATCCCCCAGGTTGCACCCCTCTGGCACTCTGAATTGATGGTATCCCCCAGGTTGCACCCCTCTGGCACTCTGAATTGATGGTATCCCCCAGGTTGCACCCCTCTGGCACTCTGAATTGATGGTATCCCCCAGGTTGCACCCCTCTGGCACTCTGAATTGATGGTATCCCCCAGGTTGCACCCCTCTGGCACTCTGAATTGATGGTATCCCCCAGGTTGCACCCCTCTGGCACTCTGAATTGATGGTATCCCCCAGGTTGCACCCCTCTGGCACTCTGAATTGATGGTATCCCCCAGGTTGCACCCCTCTGGCACTCTGAATTGATGGTATCCCCCAGGTTGCACCCCTCTGGCACTCTGAATTGATGGTATCCCCCAGGTTGCACCCCTCTGGCACTCTGAATTGATGGTATCCCCCAGGTTGCACCCCTCTGGCACTCTGAATTGATGGTATCCCCCAGGTTGCACCCCTCTGGCACTCTGAATTGATGGTATCCCGTCTCTGTTACCTGACACCCCCGGCAGGCTCATCACTTATTTATTGTCCAGGTGTTCCCGTGTACAGACCACGTAACCGCCATCTACATGTGTTCTATATGTCCCTGACATATACCGCAGCGCTGTACAGAGGACACTGAGCCAGTCACATCAGTACAGAGGAGCTTACACTCTAATGTCCCCTCCCCCCCCCCAGTCACATCAGTCTCTGTACAGAGGAGCTTACACTCTAATGCCAAAGTGACGTTTGCTCGGTGTCCTGTGTACTATAAACAATGTTTTACTTTGGGACCCTGAATTGATGGTATCCCCCAAGTCGCACCCCTCTGGGACCCTGAATTGATGGTATCCCCCAGGTTGCACCCCTCTGGCACTCTGAATTGATAGTATCCCCCAGGTCGCACCCTCTGGCACTCTGAATTGATGGTATCCCCCAGGTCGCACCCTCTGGCACTCTGAATTGATGGTATCCCCCAGGTTGCACCCCTCTGGCACTCTGAATTGATGGTATCCCCCAGGTCGCACCCTCTGGCACTCTGAATTGATGGTATCCCCCAGGTTGCACCCCTCTGGCACTCAGAATTGATAGTATTCCCCAGGTCGCACCCCTCTGGGACCCTGAATTGATAGTATCCCCCAGGTTGCAGCCCTCTGGGACCCTGAATTGATAGTATCCCCCAAGTTGCACCCCTCTGAGACCCTGAATTGATAGTATCCCCCAGGTTGCACCCCTCTGGCACTCTGAATTGATGGTATCCCCCAGGTCGCACCCTCTGGCACTCTGAATTGATGGTATCCCCCAGGTCGCACCCTCTGGCACTCTGAATTGATGGTATCCCCCAGGTTGCACCCCTCTGACACTCTGATTTGATGGTATCCCCCAGGTTGCACCCCTTTGGGACCCCCCATGTTGAACGCTGTGAAGGTTTTCGGGTGGGCAAGCGTTGGACTAACCCTCGGTCTCCCTGTGTTCTTCTCTTTGTAGGAGCGAGTCTGTAGGAGAGACCCGCGGAGGACCCGGAACGGTTTCTGCACATCACGAGTGACTGTGAGAGAACACTGTTCATATGAAGCGTGGTCTGGGCGGCCGCACAATAGCGTGTTCCCGCTCTCTTCTCTGAGATCCTGGATCTTCCTCCCCTTCCTTCTCTCTTCCCCGCACTTCCTCTTCCAGGTTCCTCCTCTGCCCCGCGGACCACCATGTCCTCCTCCTCCGGCCTCCACTCGCTCGCGTTCACTTTCAGCCTCAGTTTCCTCCTGGCCTCCATCTTAGGCCTCAGCCTGGGACTTGAGTTCATGGGCCTGTCCAACCAGTGGGCCCGCTACCTGCGCTGGGACGCCAGCACCCGCAGCGACCTCAGCTTCCAGCTCCGGACCAACGTCTCCAGCGGCCTCCTCCTTTACTTTGACGACGGCGGCATCTGCGACTTCCTGTGCCTGTCCCTGGCGGACGGCCGGGTCCGGCTGCAGTTCAGCATCGACTGCGCGGAGACCGCGGTGCTGGCCGACAAGGCGGTGGACGACGGCGGTTGGCACTTCGTGACGGTGAGCCGCGATAGGCTGAGGACCACGCTGGTTCTGGACGGAGAAGGCAAACCCGGGGAGGTGCGACCGCAGCGGCAGCACATGAATATCGTCAGCGACCTCTTCCTGGGGGGCGTTCCCGGGGACATCCGCTCCGACGCCCTGACCCTCGGCGCCGTCCGCGACATTCCCAACTTCTCCGGATTGTTACATGACCTGAAGTATGGCAACTCCGAGCCCCGGCTGCTGGGAAGTCAAGGCGTCCGCCTGGACCAGGAGGGTCTGTGCATGGAGAACCCTTGTGAAAATGGAGGCGCCTGTCTCCTGCTGGACGGTGAGCCCACCTGCGACTGCACGGCGACCGGATACGTGGGCAAGTTCTGCT